GTGTGGGAGCTTTCCAAGTTGACGGTGCCTGCAGCTTATTTTGAACCTCTGCTTTGCCTGTTCCTTGGAGGGGATGAGGGCTCTTTTAAAGCCCCTTTCTGTAGAAATACCCTGTATGTTTAGAGAGATACACATTATGGATCTTTTGGGACAGCTTTCCATCCCCATCCCATCCAGTTGCCTTGACCAAGCTGCCCACTAGAGGGAAACCACGGCCAAGGACTGGAGGGCAGAGAGACAGGGATAGGGAAGAAGTGGACAAGGAGGACTCTGGGCACTCCCTGCTATGTGACAGCCCCACAGCCCATCCTCAGGGGGTCTGGACCCCCTCAACCCGGACCGGAGCTGCTCTGCAGGTAGACAGCCACCCTCCATCCCCAAATCTCCTTGGGCCATCCCTAGCACTTGCTTAGGGTAAAAAGGGTATGAGAAAGCCAGTCCATGGGCAAAGGGCATGCTCACACCCCTGCAGAGGTAAGTGTCAAGCCAGCAGGACCCCTTTTCCCCTGGCTCTGCTGTCAGGAGGTGAAGCTACAATGAAAATAAAGCCTCCTTGCCAGCACATCAATGTTCATCAGATGGAGTGTTTATCCCCAGCTTCAGGCCAGAACAAATGTTTGCTTTTTCTTTTTCTCTCTCTCTCCCCCTTTTCTTTCTCTCCCTCTATTTTTTCTTTTCTTTTTAAGACATTATGTTCCAGATATCACTAAGCCTTTGCATTCAGTATTTCCCAGTGAGCCCACAGCTGCCTCTGTTAGCTCCCCACATCCCCTGCCCTCTCACCCTGCCCGTCGACAGCCGCGACTTCTTGGAGTCCTCGTGGTTGTGATGAGGCTTGCCAACTTTGCCCATCTGCCGCTGCTGCTCGTTCACCTTCTCCCTCATAACTGCCAGCTCCTTCATGCCCGTCTTCATGGGCTTCCTCCCACCACCTCCGCTCAGGATCCCTGTGGTGCCATCCACATGGTTCTCAGCAAGGATGCTCTCAGACCGGTCATCACCATTATCTGCAGTAGACAGGGCAGACAAGGAAAGGGTCAAGCTCAGCCAGCCGTTCTCTCACGTGTTCCTCCCATCCTGGATCACTTTCAAGTGTGGCTGGTTACCAAGCCATAAAATCTTTGCATGCAAAAATTTTAAATTGCATTAGTTCTTTCATCTGGAAGGTGAGAATAGATCCTTTCATTCTGGAGTTATTACCACACTAAAAGACAGTTTAGAGAACAGGGGAAATCACTGCTGGAGAAGTTCTTTCTAGTTTTTCTTTGACCTTGTAAATTACTTCCCGAAGAATGTAATTTTCCCATCACAAGTCCAGTTGGGTTGGGGATGCCAAGTATACTTCAGTTCCAAAACTTAAAACCACAGTGATTAGTAACAATACCTTGAGTCCATCTATCATCCCCCAGAGTATCTCCAGGAATACTTACTCAACATTAACGTGCTAAAATAAATTCTCAGGCCTGCTTTCAAAAATACCTTTCCTCTGCTTTATGGCCACCCTGATTTCCCTCAGAGATCCTGCCATTTCAGTGATCATCCTTGCTGTATCGTCTTTCACATTGTTTGTCATACAGCGCATTACTCATTTAGCTTCTACCTACATCTGCATTTGGCCACTTCTGCTGACTGTGGAACTGCTCCACATGTCCTGGGCCCAACTCTGCCACTGCTGCAAGCTGCAAGACCCCCAGCTAATTTAGCCATTTCAGTTAGGAGAAACCTGAGGATAAAACACTGGACTTTTTTAACCTCCTCCTTCTCTGCTTTGTGCCTTTTCCCAGTGCTGTTTCTGAGAGCAATCCCTGCCAAAGTAGGACACAGCAGTCACAATGCCGCAGACATCAGTCCCTCTGGACTTTGGAGTGGCAGTGAGGACAGATCTCAATTCCTCCTGCTTGCTCCAGGGAGCCCAGAAGGTGACAGCTGACCCCTCCTTAGTCCTCAGTCTGACGTGGCTGAGCAAGCACATCTAACGCTGTAGCTGGATCTAACATTGAAGCTGGCTCTGATTTAAGCAGGGGCTTGGACCAAGACCTCCAGAGGTCCTTTCCAGCCCAAATCAGGATTCAACCCATGCACATCACCTTTCAACCACAAT